ATGAAGACTATTAAAATCAGTTAGCTGGATATTCACTCCACTGAAAAGCAGCAAAAGGAAGAATGAAATTTTAGGAAGCAATGTCACCCGCTGCCATTTAATACCAAAGCTGTCTCTTTTAAGTATAAATCCTATGGTAGTTTTCACAGTTCCCAAAGCTAACTCTGAGGGAAAAGAAATTATATTAAGCCAAGTTTGCAAGGTCATGAAATGAAAAACTGAACATTGAATATGAACATGTCACCTCAGTTCAATTTCACTTTCATTTCCCACAGAAGAAATGTTAGAAAATAGTTACAAGATTTTTCAAGTTTGCATTTCTGAAGTTTTTAAATATTTGTGTATTATTTTATGCAGAAATAAAAATGCAGCTAATTTAATTTCACAAATGTCTTGATTTTACATGTCTTATCATCTTATAAGATTATCATGTTATAATCTTCATTTTGTAATATGATACAAATATATGTGCTTTAAATGCATAATTGAATTTAACACTCAATATGCCTTAAGTTTTTTGGTCTTTATGCCACAAAACAAAAGGCACACTTCAAGTGCAGACTCATGTAGCTAGCACTGCAGATAGCTTTTCTTTTCCTTTTTTTTAAGATTCATTTTTATTTATGCATACCAGAACTGGGGTGTAGGCCAGAGCTGCAGGGGGATGAGAGGATTTACCAGAGACAGAGTGGAGAGCAGAACAGGTGGATCTACTGAAATACACCACACTGAGGGGAGCAGCTGGAGAGACAGGAGAGGTCTGCTGTGCCATTGGGTTAGCTCCCTGGCCAGGGATCAAATCATGCTGCAGTGGCTGGTGATAGCTTGAAAAGTGCTGTGACTTTAACCACTGTGCCACCAGAGAGGCCCTGCAGATTGCTTTTCCATAGTAGGTATCCTACGCAGAAAGTCTGCAATTCAACAAAATGCTGTGTTACAAGCCAACTCAATAAAGCAATGAAGTACTTGCATAGTTTGCATAGTGTGCTCTGGCAATTTGTTGCCACAATAGGGCAATCATTTAAAAATCTACAAACAATTTTTTCTCCTCCATTTTCATTGATTGGTGCATAAAATAGTTCCCAAATTTTGAATAAACATTATTGAAACCAAGAGGAAACAGTTGACAGCATGGACTTTTGAGGATACATTTAATAACAATTTGCAGAAGGTCAGCCATGGGGCAGATATGTGTCAAGTACTAGGGATATGAGAATAAAGATCACAGGAACTATCATTGCCTTATCTCCGAATCCAGCACACGGACTGGCACATAAGTACTCAGTAAATCTTTGAAGACTCAATGGAAGACCTGTTTACTATTGCAAAAATGCTGCTAAAAACACCAAGTCAGAGGGCCAGAGTGAATAAAAGGAAAAGGCGTGAATGGAAGGAAAGGTGTCACAATATAAAAGGCAGATATTAGACAACATGTCTAATATGGTAGAGAATTGTGTCGGAAAACATTCTTAAATTGGAAAGTGTAAGTAAACTTTATCAGAAAGGAAAAAGAAGCTAATGAAGATACTAGAAAACCAAAATTTACTTTGAAAGTGAAAACTTCACTTCATTGAATACGTTCAAATTTGTGTCAAACAAAATATAAATTTTAAAAGAAAATTGGAAACTTTAGTCAGACTTGTCATTAACCAAATTATCAAAAATACAAAATTTTCATTTTTTTCAATCATCTGAGCTGCTATGTTGCATAAGAATAGATTGTTAAACACTGTTTTCCCATGAGATCCCTTAGTTTTCTTAATTTTATTTTGAAACTTGGGGAAGAATATTGTGCTATAGATACGGAGATAAAGATTTTCAGATATAAATTAACAAAGTGAACATGTTCAGAAAAACAAGCAGCCATATAATTTATGACTACTCCTGAAAATTCTCAGCTTAATTGCTTTCCAATTTACTTTTAATAAAATCACAAAGAACAATAACTGGTAATGATTAACATAAGTCCACTGAAAATACTTTGTCTTCACAATGAACTTTCATCCACTTACACTAATAGTATTTGAGTAAGAAATACAAGAAAGTCAGCAACTTGAAAAGCTATTTGAAGACTGCCAAGGTCCAGAAAGCAACTGACAAATCAAAGTAGGGAATGCAAAAAACTGACATTTCAGAGGTCAGCGACATTTTGGCTATGGAAGTTCTTGAACAGGAAAACAAGATATATCTTAAAAGAATAAACTCTACCTAATCTTTGTGAATGATAAGCACTATTGACAAATAAATTAATATTTTCATTCTATGACTAAAATTTAGTTAACTACTAAAAATTTACTAGCTGCTAAGAGGAATCCTTGTCCCTTTTAGTCCCACCAATGGAAACTTTTCTATTCCAATAACCTAGCAATATTCCAAGCCCTTTCAAGGAAATCCAGACTTACTGTATTTATGCTTTCTTTACATAATAAACTAATAAAGGCATGACATACTTTTCCCCCCAAGACCTGCACAGCAATGAATGCATTTATTTCATTTAAAATGTTTTCATTAACCAAAAATTCTGAATTATGAAATACAAACTTGACAAATGATATTGTTCAGAGACACATGTCTACATTTTGTTTGATATTATATATAATTTGGTATTGCAAACTGTTAGCTAGACATCAATTAGGTTGAGAAGCCATATGAGGTATTATGGTGAACTGTGCCAATTTCTAGCCATCTCCACTAAAAACATACATGTGAGAGAAACCACCTATCAGCTGAATACCTCAAAGTGACCTCCATCAATCCCATATGAAACAAAAGAATGTCCCAGTTTCATTAATAATACAACTGATGATTAGTCAGTTATATCTTGTATTTAAATGGGATGAGGTGACAAATGTGAGCAATCATTTTCTGATCAGCTGTGAAAGATGTGCAATGTCAAAAAATGCTACAATTATACATCATTTATTTCTTTCACTAGAACAGAAGGCAACAAACACTTTCTGCAAAATCCCTGATGGCAAATATTTTAGGCTTTGCGGCCCAAGGGGCAATTTAAAAAGGATATTATGTAGGTACTTATATATCGAAAGACAAAACAAACTTCTACTGATATTTGTATCAGATTTTAAAATACATAACCATAACAGTATAATTTTTGTAATACAGGTCTGATAATGAGAAGATTGGGATTTTGGTGGCAGTGACAGCTTAATTGGGATTCAAAATTAGTACTCCCTATCATCAAATAAATTGCAAATATTCATCTGCAAAAGCCATTCTTAACTGTATAAAAACAGACATCAGGCCAGATTTGGCTTCCAGGCTGTAGCTTTTCCATCCCAAGCACTATAATATTAAAAAATGTAGTAGCTTTCCTTTGCTACTAAATTGCAGAAGATCTTCTGCAATTAGGTGAGCACACTAGGTCAGCTCTGTTGTTTTATATGTGCTTTTATTGGCTTGGGGCAGAGTAGGGCAGATCCACAAATATTTGTTGGATGCCTTTATGAGTTTACTGAGACACAGAGAAGCCCTTTAAGCTTCTCTTTCATTTTTCCACATCTTTCTAACTTTGCTTAGGAACCTTTACCACGCTTTCCCATATCTTTGGCAAAGAATCTTAGAATTGGCTCTCTCCCCTACAAAAAATAAAATTGGGGCCTTGAGACTTGGGGTGACTCATCCTACAACTATAAAATCCCCCTCTAACAAAGTTTAGACAATTCGTCATCAAAATTTTTTTCCAAAGCAGATGGCCAACGGGCACATGAAAAAAGGCTCAACCTCACTTATAATCAGGAAAATGCAAATCAAAACCACAATGAAATATCACCTCACACTACTAAGAATGGCCTACATTTAAAAAAAAAAACACCAGACAACAACAAATGCTGGGGGAGGCAGAGGGGTCAAAAAGGGGAAGGGAAGAGTATAAGAGTCTATGATGATTGTTCATAGGTGACTTGGTGGTGGAATTTTATGGGGATCACACCTGAGAGGAGAAATCAAACATTAAATACAAAAATGAATAGTGACATAAAATAAATAAATAAATATAAATTTTTTTAAAATTCCAATTTCATCATTTGAACTATGATTAAAAATGCTTTGACAGAAGTCATTGTCTTTTAATTAACTGGAGTCAAGATGTAGTTCTGTTATGAAAGAAGTGTTCACAGCAATCCTTTCATTGTCTTAACAACAGAAATGAAAATACTCAAGTTGGATGAAACCAACCAGAGATGGAAATATTATCAACCTAATTTGGCTGATTATTATTCTAGTGCAATGACAGAAGACAATGACTCCTCTGCATGTATCCTGTCAGTACTTCTCAGTGCCTTAGATATCTTTTTTGATCACTTCCTCTTAAGTGTAGATGTCTTCTTGCCTACAGGAGGTATGTTACTCAGAGGCACATACCTGTGCTTGAATAAGACAACAACCAACAGTTAGGTGGTATAATTTGTTCCTATCTGTAATTACTTATAAGGTTTTTGTTAAAATCTAACAGACTGCCTGGAAAATAGTGTGATTTGAGATGAATTAACATTCTCAGAAAACTTCCAGTAGATCCTACTGAAAACTGTACACTATCATTAAATAAATTCACAACTTGCTTGCAAATAACACTCTTTAGACGACTGAATTCAATTACAATAGAAACAGTACTATGTTAGAAAAAAAAATAGCATTTTAACTGTCATTACTAAGCATCCTCTCATTCTTCCATTTTATTTTTTTTCATGAAAACATTCATTTGCTCCACCATTACTATTATATGGGATTTGTGAACTAAATTATCCAGCAATACAATTTGGCTGAAACAATAAAGGATAGTAAGAGATGCATACAGTACATAATTATCAAATATTTATGCAAGCAAATGAATAACCTAAAAGTGGATTTTCTTCATTTTTTTCCTATGTCTGCAAATTCAAAGGAGTTCATATCTATTTCCAACCCCTCTACATGGTGTTTCATTAAATATTATTGCCTTCTAAGGAGAGATTTATCTTGTGTGTATATTTTATCTTCCTTACCAAGGACTTTTCCTGGGCTGTGTCCATGTATTTCCACCTGGAGCACTAGAATGATAATCAGCCAAATTAGGCTGATAATATTTCCATCTCTGGTTGGTTTCATCCAACTTGAGTATTTTCATTTCTGTTGATAAGACAACGAAAGGATCGCTGTGAACACTTCTTTCATAACAGAACTACATCTTGACTCCAGTTAATTAAATAAACCCTTACTGTGGAGTGGGCTGTTCCTCTAAAATATATCAATTAGGACCTAAACAACATAGCATGTTTTGCGCACATAATGTGTAAAATAGGTCATCCTCTTTCTATCCAGAGCAGCTTCTCTAATGAGAACAATGAATTTTTGAAACTATTGTATTGTGGCTTTTTTGTTTGTTTTTAGTTTTGTATTTGCTGTTTTTGCTTCAAGATACATTAGTATCTATAAACCTAGGTGTAACAGTTCATAAGACCATATCAAAGTTCATTGAACAAATTTGGTTATTTCTACAGGGCAGATTCATCAGAAGACTGCTGCTTGCTTTCTTTGTCACCTGGGAACAGAACTGAGGAACTGTACCAAAGAACCTCATTACTCTTCTGAAAACTTTCCATGTAAGGACAAGTGTTTTCCATAATTTTATCATTTCCATTTTATTTATCCTTTCCTCTGGGCACTCCTATTTTGTTTCTGTGTGCTTTGGGAGGGCTGACTTGGCCTTAAAGTAATCATACATAGTTAAAAGTTTCTTTTAATACATTGGTTTTTAAGTGAACTATGCTATTTGCAGTATCTGGAATATCTTACTCTTCTCTGAATTTTCCCAAAGCAACTTATTTGCATCTCTTTTATGACACTTAGTATGTGTTTTAGACTGAACTATATTTCCTCTAAATTCATAGGTCCAAACTTTCCAGTAACTCAGAATGTGACTCTATTTGGGGACAGGGTCTTTAAAGAGGCTAATAAGTTAAAATGAGATCAAGAAGGTGGGCCTTAATCCACTATGACAGTATGATTGATGACCTTTTTCAGGAGAGGTTATTAAGACACAGATAAGCACCAAGGGAAGGTTATGTGAAGACATACAACTTCTCTAAAGTTATCTGTTTCCTTATCTGAAAAATGAACACATTCAAAAAGGGAATCATATTGATGGTTTCCAACTCACAGATTCTATGAATGTTGTCCCTGTTGCGGCAGCCTCTGCCGCTGAACGCCAGTGAACTTACTGGAAAGAGGGAGGCTTTCACTCAGACACATCAGAGTGAGTAAGACCCCCTTCCCCTGTGCGCTGGACTGGACAGTCAATGACGGCTAAGATCGGGGGCAGACTAAAGAAGGCACTGGCCAGCCTCATGTCTGTGACTCCTGACGACCTAAGACAGGCGCAGTCCCCGAGGGGCTTCATCATGATAAACTTTGGCATTCAGATCAAACAAGGCCCACATGCCTATAAGCCTAATTTAGGCAACAAGCCCGCAGTAAATAACCCCTCCTTTGATGGAAACAAGGCTGCTAAGAACGTCACCTGCAAACAAGCCTGATGGAATTACCTACAAAGCAGTTTAACCATCAATCAGATAGTCATTGTTTCAGAATAAGTAGCAACCTAGCAACCTGTCTATAATCATACTACTTTTTCGCTTATTTTGCTTTTTCCTTATATGTGTACAATCAGTTTCAGGAAATGCATGATAAAGAAAATAGTGTGTGGCAATAGTAGTTTTATAATAATCACAATACTTCTCACATGAGACAACACCATAAAAATCAAAATGCTTACGTAAAGAATATATTGCTCGTGATCACTAAAAGTAGAAGGTGCCAGTAGGTAAATATCAATGTTTTTGATCATTGTGGTTTTGGGATACGAATCAAGAAAAGCTAGCTTAAAGAATGCTGTTTGGTGTAAGCAAAAATGATTGTGTAGATTCAGTACCTTGAGATTGTTTACTGTGCCATGTCATGGAACAGCAATCACATGCACATGAATAATGAAGTAGATGTCTTATGCCTTACAAAGTATTTTATGCTGAGAAAGAATTAAATTGTATGAAATCATCCATTGTTAGAAAAGGTATAAAAGTGTATGATGATTTTGAGCAAATTACATTCAGATCTTCACTCTTGAAGTGTGTCTGTCTGTCATTTATGCGCCGATTCCTTGAGCATCCTCACAGTTTCTCAATCCTGAGACAGTCCTGCAAGTCTACCGCTGCGCTGGTCCGCGGCACCCTGTGTCCTCATTTTACCTACAGATAAAACCCTTTTTTGGGGGTGAATTTCATCCAACCTTCACAATTTTTATTCCAGATAAAATGTTGGAAAGGAATTCAATATTAGAATTTAGATATAGTACCGATAGAATCTAGAGCTAAAATGGCCAAAAGAGATAAGCAAGGGAAAGAAAGACTTGAAACCCATTGGGCTTTTTTTTTTTGAGGTAACATTAATTCCAACCTATGCAACTATATCATATACTAATCGTATATGAATTAGGGGTATATTTGGAATCATGATTTAAAAGAAAGGCATCATTTTTCTTCTATTTCAACCCATCTTCATACAAGTACTTGGATGCTGCCTGAGTAGTGAGGGCTCTGGGAATTCAGGAATCTTTCCTCAGTAGGAGTTGTTGAAATATAAGTGGCGCAAGAAAGCACAAATATCAGGTGAGTTGTTAGTTCATGTCTTTGACAAAAAAATTCAAGAATTCCGTGTGGGTGTGATCTGAGCTCTGTGATGCAAGCACAAATAAACTATTTTGGCAGAATGTAATGCAGACCAAGGAAAGTATTCATAAAGAGGCATTCAGAGAATAAAGCCAGAAGAAGACAGTGGGCCATTAGCAGGCATGGAGAAATAGCTTTGTGATGGCAAACTCTTTGGTAATCATTTTCTTCTAATTACACATTTAACTGTAAATGCTCCCGTACCTGGCTGAAACTTGCTTGACCTGACCACCTGCAGTGGTACTACTAGCACTCACTGGCTGTGCATGGAAATCACCAAAGCATGATTGTAGAGGAGAACAGATGGGCACATACGGCTGTAGGCAGTTCTCTCTTCCCAGAAGAAGCAGCATGTTCTGGCAGAAGGGCTTAGAAAATTAACTGAAGAAACCACTCTGTTCAGACAAAGCAAAAACATCAACAGTTCCTCCTTTGTAAGCATAACTGGAAGCCAAATGCTTTATTTAGCCCTCGCAATTATAAAAAGCCAGTAAACAAGTATAATATCTATAGTTTTCTCTAACAAACTGAGAATGACTCTCAGATTTCATAGTAACTGAACTAGGTTACTGAGGATTAGGGTTAGGGAAGGCATTTTTTTTTCCACTAAAGATAACCTAAAATAGAATGAATTTGGTCAAGGATGTTACTAAAAGCCTTCTAGAAACAAAATGTCCTCTAAATACTAACCAATGTTTGGCCCATGAAGAAGACAATGATTTTATAGATCAAATATAATAGAAATTTAATCAATTATCTAATTATTTTTCTCAAAAAGGCACAGTCTGGACTATTTAAAGTTCCTCTTCAAATCAGGTATATCATATGGAAAATCATCTGGAAATTTTCCCTTAAGAAATAGTAGGAAGCAAGAGTGTTCAGGAAAAACCATATTCTCTAGGGAGCTACTTTATTAATTTATTCATTTGATCTGTTACTCATCAGGTCAGTGACCTCAGGAACGAGTGAGGCACATTTACTAATGACCTCAGGAACGAGTAAGGCACATTTACTAATGGACCGGTGTCCTTCATTAGACCTGGCATGCTGATGACAAGGAATATTAAAGAATATATCAATATAATTAAAACAAATAGGAAATCAGTTCCTCAGAATCTGCTTAAGGCAAGCTGGTGGATACAGGCAGATTTCCAAACTTCCCAGATACTTCAAGTTTTCCAGTATCACAGAACATTAGATCTCTAAGGATAGGCTTGATAGACTGCCATACAAGTGTGAAGCACTTGTGGAAAAAGGAACACTATTACCCTGTTGGTGGGAATGTAGACTGGTTCATCCCCCCTGGAGAACAGTATGGAGTTTTCTCAAAAGACTAAAAATAAATTGCCCACATGATACAGTCATTCCACTCCTAGACATCTACCCAAAGAATACAAAAACACTCATGCAAAAAGAAACTTGTACTCCCATGTTTACTGCAGCACCATTTACAATAGTAAATTTAGAGAGAGAACCTGTGCCCCAAAACAGATGAGTAGATCAAGAAGGTGTGGTATACATACACAATGGAATACTACTCGGCAATCAAAAAAGGCAAACACACGTCATTTTCAGCAACATGTACGGCCCTGGAAAGGATTATGCTAAGTAAGATAAGTCAGAAAGACAAATACCAGATTGTGTCTGTTATAAATACAGCAAGTGTTGGAGAGGCTGTTGAGAGATGGGAACCCTCAAACACTGTTTGTGGAAGTGTAATTGGTATAGCCATGATGAAAAGAAGTACAGAGATTCCTCAAAAAATTAAAAATAGAAATTATACACACACATGCGTTATCTCACTAATTCAAAAAATATGTGCTCCTCATGTTTGCTGCAGCATTATTTAGCCAATATCTAGAAACAACCAAAGTGCCCATTGACAGATGAATGGATAAAGAATACTTTATCAATACTATGCCACTATTTAAAAGAAAGGATAAATCCTGCTATTTGCAATATGAATGGAATTGGAGGGGATATGAAATAAGTCAGAAGGAGAAAGACAAATATGGTATGATTTCACTCATATGTGTTATAGATATGGAGAAAACAAACAGATGGATGGGCTAAATAACATAAAAACAAACTTTTAGACTACAAGATCAATCAATGGTCACCAGAAAGGAAGGAGGAAGAGTAGGTAAATTGGGCAAAAAAGGATAATTTTTGGTAAGGGATAGAATTGGATTTACAGTGATGAGCTAAAGTCATATAAACACATGCTGATTTTTAATGATACTCACCTGAAATCCATAAGGTTTTAGATCATACATTATTTATTGATTATAATGCCAAGTTACTTGAAATATAAAAGAGGGCCTCCCCAGTGGCGCAGCGGGCTGAATGCAGAGGTGTGAAGCTGTCTGCAGCCTCTGAAGTGCGGGTTCAATCCTTATACCCACA